ACGTATACTGTGAAGGACGCGGTGATCTGCGGGACCATGAACGGTGATCCAGATCAAGAGGCTTGTTCCAGCTTACCAGTCGAAATGGAACGCCAGAACTCATCCATTCTCCTTTAGATATCAAGATCAAACCATAAGTGTCCTTCCAAGCTTGGAGGTATCAGGGTCAGAATTGTCGCTGCAGCATTCGCAAGCATGATTTAGACCGAGATCATTGATGTCGCAAGTTGTAGGGGACATCCCACGAGTATGCGCTTCCTCACAGGACTTCGAGGTCCCAGCATCAGTGGAAAATGATGACCGTCGAAAATTGCCCTCTGAGTGTACGAGTCGACGCCACGACGACCAGCCGCAAACTGAATCACGAAGATCTAGAGACGCGAGGTGTCACGTCACGGATTAACCTAACCTCGCGCTCTGACTGAGATTGCCACATGCGTGGCACGAACCTGCGTCGATTGTATCTTGGATATGCTGCTTTGGAGTGTATCGTTATCAAGGAGGATGCTGAGGTTTTTCAGGTGTCATGGGATCGGTAGGACTCTGCTGGCGCATGCATGGGGTAACTATTCGCCAAAATTTCATGCGAAGCAATTGTGGGCTATTCAACGTCAGGCTTCGTTCAGTCATCACCAGGCAATTAACAGACATGAAATGATATGAATATTAACTCCGTCAAACGAGTACGTGTCCAAGCTCCCCGGTTCTGAGGCGTCCCGCAGATTACTGCCAGCGGGCCATCGATTATTGTAGGCTAAGCTGCTGGCAGAATACATCCAGACCCCGGCCAGGCTATGAGAACAAATCAAAATATTTGTAGACCCGCTGGTAACGCACTGATTATCACGGATACCGCGTCGTACTGCCCCAGGTTCGTGTCAGGGTGAATTATGGCATTCAGCCCGCTCAGGTAAAGTCAGGATATCTGTATACTCGACTCTGAGGCGTATGACGCCCACATTGCGGTTGAGTTTAGCTGATATTTGACTTTCATTAAATTATAGGGCAAGTTTGCCGGCATAGCTGGTGATTCCTACGGACATTAGAGGTAAGCGCGGAAGCCCGTGAAAAGGAAAGCACGCGTACGCGTTGTACGAACTTCAAGGCCCATGGCAAGGCAGAGTGTCATCAGATATCGGTTAGTCTGATGATCCCGATAAGCTGTGCATGGGTAAAGAGGACCCCAGACGTCCAGAGCCAGGTTAGCGATGTCCTTCCCTTCTGGTAAATGCGACCGATGGGGGTAGATTGGGCCCCCTACCGTCAAGTAGAGCAAAGGGAAAGTAATGTTACCCGCCCAGACTCAGAGAGCGAGTGGTCATTTAAGCAAAAAATCGTCCAAGCGTAGTGGCGTCCGGGCCTACTCCCGGGGGCCTGGGAAACCAAAGCGCGCCCAGCCGGTATGTCTTTGTTCTCTATATGGTCAATTTGCGCTTGAGGGTCCACCCTCTTTTCCTATTTAGCTTTGTTTTGACGTGGTTCAATTCCCCCACAACTTGAACCGCGACCACTACCACCATGGCACCCACCGCCCAACTCCCCGGCTCTCCCCCGAGGAAGCGGTCACGGAAAGCGGCGACGGACGACAACGTGACCCGGCCACTCTCAGCCCACAGCCATGTGCATTGGGGAATCAAGCGCCCTCGGTTCGAAGTTAAACTCGACAGTGGCAACGATCTGCGGATTCCCAAGAGGGAACGATATTCCCCTTCGGTAGATGAGAGCCCATCAAAGATATCTGCCTCCATAAGGTCAGACGCCAAGGCTGACAGTGACCCGACCCTTTGCGCTGCTGGCGACGACGTTGTCGCCGCGGGTACCAGGAGCAGTCGCCATCCTCCGGTCTCTCAGAAGACCGTCGCTGTCGACTCTGAAGCAGAACCGGAGGAACGTCACGGTTCACTCGGCCACGGAGACGACAAAGAGCCAAGGGCCGATGACGGTGCCTCGATCCTGCCTCAAGGAACGTCTGGCACGCCCGCTGCTAGTGGTGAGGAGCAACAGAAAGCTGACATGCGTCCACTGATATCATTTAGTCACCATAGATGCGAAAGAGGGAGATCTTGACGCGACCGTTATCTCTGGGAATTCACGCGTTGATGTAAAGTCCGCTTCAGACCCTGTCGGTGGCCCACACAAGGACACCCCGACTACCCATCTGACGTCTCTATCGAGCACTGAAAGCTCAGCGGTCAGACCAGATGGCGACAATGCAGTGGTGAGTTCTCCGGAGGCTCAGAGGAGCAGAACAATCGTCTGACCGATGTCAGGCCAACGCCGCAAAGGATGCCTCAGTAAATCCCTCTGCGCACCTGGACTTACTTGGCAGCCCTTCGGACGATACGCAAGGCGTCAGCACCCCCACGGCATCTCGTCCTGACCAAGGTCCTGCCGTAATTCCCGACTCGTCGGGCCACCTGACGGACAAGAGCCGCTCAATCGAGCGTGAGTAACGACGCCCTGCTCGACGCTCCTCACTCACAGAGTCCACACAGACACGACCAACGCGGAGGTATCTGCTCAGCAAGATGACGTTCCGCATAACACGGACTTGCCCTTTGGTATTCTGTCTGAGTTTCCTTCGGATCTTTTGTATGAGGTGAGGGCATTCTACATAAATACGTATAGACACTCTCATGGCCTCGACTAGATCCTCGGCCACGCGTCTCCATTGACATTACTTACTCTGTCGCGGGTCAATCACGCTTTCCGGGAGGTGCTGATGTCTCGCAAGAGACGATATATCTGGAGACGGTCTATCAAAGCGGCCAATGCATCTTACGTGCGATTTCCATTATGCCCGAAAGGCATCACTGAGCCCCAATGGGTGCGCCTTGTTTTCGAGAACGACTGCACTG